AAAAAAAACAAAAAAAAAAAAAAAAAAAACTATAAATAGAAACAGCAAACGAATTTTCGTCGCATTTTGAGACTCACACACGTGAATCATGTGTCAAAATTGCCGCCAAAGAAACAAACTTTCTTTGAGAGATTAGAAAAATTCATACAAACTTTTTCACTTAAATAAATATCTTTCATAGAAAAATCTTTTCTCTAAGTTAAATTCAACCTTTCAATCAAAGGCAAACAACTTTTTAGACTTTAAACATTTCCGAAATAGCAAAGAAATTGAATATCGTTACCATTTGGCCATTTCTTATAATTTTATTTATGTTTGTAGATATTGCATATTTTATTTGCAGCACAATCTTAAATATTGACGCATCCTTCTTAGATCCACTACAACATCAAAACTAAATGATCTCGTGTTTTGTGTCACTTAAAGAAACCCATGACAATGAAATTGAAATACGATCTGGCGTTTTTTTAAGCTCAGCATAGCCCTCTAAGCAACAACAACAAAAAAGCTTGAAGCTCCTCAAATTTCTTACGCAAAGAAATTAATCAATCAGTTAAAAAAAAAAAAAAAAACAAACAATATTTGTTTTATGATGTGCGTGTTAAAAACTTCAAATCGCAGAGTGTATCAATAGGGATTTACAATTTTTTTGCGGACATTATTACAACAATTATTATGGGAGAAACTTAGAATGTAGATACAATAAATAAAAACACCAAACAGACTTAGAATTTCAAAGTCAACATGTTAGTATAGTTTTACTTTAGACAATAATTTTTTTTTTTTTTTTTTTACAGACATGTCACATTTCATTGATTAGTACAAAACAAAATGAGAATGTGACAAGGCACGCACGTACAAACAGGCAATGATGCAAAAAAAAAAAAAAAAAAACCTCCTAAAACTAAAAAGTCGAACGTATTTTCGCACCCCTAAGGCAAGCGAAACGGAGGAAGAAAGCAATGAATAACCTACCTTACGAGTTTGTGTAAGTAATTAGTAAATGAATGGTTGGTAGAACACGAATTTGGAAAGATAGCAAAAAGACAAGCCGTACTAAGACCTACAAAGGATAAGAAATGGTAAGCGAGACATAATTGTACACGTCCTGAAGGGACACAGTACGGAGGAGAATTATTTTTTTTATTTTTTTATTTTTTTTAAATCTTTCGCAAAGTCTTTTTTTCTTTTTTTTTTTTTTATTTACATCGTCATCTCCAGCAGAGAGAAGAATAAAAATATTTAATTGATCAACTTGAAGCACGTTTCAGATTCAATAATCAATCAATTAGTGGGGTACTGACCACAGTATGCACCCCACTTCTTCGAAAACTTTTTTCCCCCCAGTCTACTAAAAAAAATGTCAAGGATCTAACTGACAACAAAAAAAAAATAAAATAAAAATAAAATTCAGGAATGAGATCCAAATAGATATGCACTGGACGTTTCCTTTTTTTTTTTTTTTACACCTGTGATCAAAAAACAAAAAAACCTATTCAATGACAATTGGAGCAAAGTCAAATTAAAAAAAAAAAAACAACAACATTCATTCGTTCTTAAACGAAGATTTTTGAAGCAATAATAAATTCAAGGAAAGATTTACGGTTAAATTGCTTTTTTATGTTAAGTTTAAGAGGAGATACTAACCATTTTAACCACGTTATTTTCGTCATTCACAATTAATGGGTTATGGTAAAGTTTTGAACCCATTAAAATTTTAGCGGTGAAAATGTTTACTAATGCCATTAAAATTTTAAGGTCGTGTGTGAAAGTGCACTTAGTTGGGACATTCGTTTTTGTTGTCATTTCATATGCAAACAAATAACAAAATAAAATTCCTGAATATAATTTACCATATTTTTCTTTTAGAGCTGTATAGGACGAAGGATGCCACTAGGGATAGCAGCAACACTATCGAAGAACTTGCACAAAAAAAACCCAGATCGACCTAAAGAATAACTTAAAAAAAAACAAAAAAAACCCGCATATATTGTAGTAAGAACAATTGCGTTAAAAATGAACCAGGAAGAAGTATAAAACGAAAAAAAAAGAAAAAAAAAACGTGTAATTAAGGTTAAAAAATAATGTGTGCTTGTTTTTTTTTTAAGTGTATGATTTGAACTAAAAAAAAAAAAAAAAAAAAAAACGTTTTCTGTTTTTAAAAAATGCTGCATTTAAGCCCGTGTGCGAAAGAGAATTCCCTTCTTCGCCACCTCGAATAAATAAACACGAAAAAGAAAAAAAAGAGGAAATCTGGCTAACAAAGGGAAAAAACAAAATAAGCACGTGGTTGGACTTTAAAAAAAAAAAAAAGTAATGGCACCAGAATACTCGGGTTACCACTTTACTTTCGATTATTCCAAGCCTGGAAATCGTTTTGTTTCTTACCCAGAATAGCTGTACCTAATAATTAAAATAGCTGTTCATTAAACACAGATAACAGTACTACATGTTTTTTTTTTTTTGTTGCTCTGTTTGTAGCAAACAATAAAGATCTTTTTGATAATAGCAAGTTAAATGGCAGGGGTTGTACAACAATATAGGGACATTTTGTGTTGTGGTTTCTTAAGCAACTATGGATGTACAGTTGTGCTATAATTTTTCTTCGCCTTGTATTAGAAATTATATCAAAGTTCATTTTGTAAATTCTACTCCATCGAAATTTTATTCAGTCAATGATTAAAAGATCGAGTTAATTTTCTTTTTATAAAAACTAAGCAAAGTTCATAAACCTTATTTTCTAAAAAGTCAAGTAAAGAAAAAAAAAATTTAATTTTTTTTTTTCTTGGAGATAGATGGATAACTGAATATAAATTCAACAATTTTTCTAGCCTGATGCAGCAGCTTAAGAAAAACTATCTGCTTGACTTAGTTGTATGCTAATCCTGAGCATTTAGTTTACTTTAAAGAAACGTATTCTGTTTCACCTTTTTTTTTTAAATTTTTTATAAAGTTAAATATATTTTTTTATGTAATATAAGAAAGTAATGAAAACATGAGATCAACCCGAAAACAATCTGCTGATAAAAGGCTTTTTAAAATCTACACTACATACACACTTATGAATTCGAAACGGATTTCATGGTCTATCGGTCAATTTCAACATTAAAAATGGAAAATATAAAAAGAAAAGTACTTCTTTTCCCCTACTGACATTATTCACATCTAAAAGGCAAGAAGCACAGTACTATAAAGTGTGGGGTTGATCACGTGACAATTCTGTGGCATAAAAACGAATTGGGGCCAAACCACAAAAAAAGGTTTTCAAACAAGTTTTTTTTTTTTTTAATATCACACGCAAGTCGTTTGTGACTTTTCATGTTTTGTTTCCTAAACTCTCCAATTAATATTTCTTTATAAACCGTAAACGTTTCTAAAAAAGGCAAGCCTAAAGGAAGAATTCTCCATCAGTCATTCCTAAAAAAACAAAAAAAAACAAACATGTTTTCCAAAATTAACAAAAACACTAGAGGCAAAAAAGCGCCGTATTTTTAATTAATCAGGTTATAATTGTTTTATAAATTTATGGTTCTATTTTAATATTTAAAAAAGTTATTTGTTAGAGACTGTTTTAGACTTTTTAGAACAAAATAGAAAAATTTACAAGTACCAGACTCTTTATTCGGTCCCATGATCAAGTCAGAGAATAGGTCTCTGGAAATTTATTATTTTTATGTTTTAGTTTTATTATGCCGTCTACGAACAATTTTTTTTATGCAGTTGATACCGTTTGAGTTAGAGAAATAGATGGAAATAAAATTTCTCGGTTTCATCAAGAAGACCCAACCCATGTAGGTAAAGCCTTGTTGAAAGCTCACAAACCACTAAAAAAAAAAAAATAAAATAAATAAATAAATAAAAATATAGTATAAAAAAACATTTAATCACCACGTGCTTTTCAATATCAATATTTAGGCAATTTTAAATTAAATGTCGCCACTGAATTTAAATAAATAAAAATAATAAAAAGTGCCAAATACGGGACGGAGTGAGAGAGAGAAAAAAAGCACTAATTGTGATTTTATGTTTAATTCGCGATACTTTATTTTCCCCTTCATTCGTCTTTTTTAACGTACAAAAGAAATCATTTTTTTTTAAAACGAAGATGTACCGAAACCAAATTATTTCAAGCGGAGAAAAAAAAAAATTACTAATAAATAAGTTTAAAAAGTCGCACATAAAATTGTACCAATGATCGATTATCGAAAAAACAGTTTGATTTTACAATAAATCAACACTACAAGCAAAAGAGTTTTACATCCTCCCCCATTTATTTGTACATATTTTTTAATTTGTTTATTTCTTTTGAGTTTTAAGATTCAAACTTCTGAACTGAAACAAATAAATAAAAAAAAAACAACTTTATGTTATTTGTAATTTATTTTTAGCGGGACAACTTGGGAGACTTTAATTTTGTTTTTTTAATTCACTGTTAGTGTTACAAGTGAAATGTAATATTTGTTTAAGACTTATATGCACAAACAAATAAAACTTTGTAAAAACTAAAAGGCAAAATTCAAACAGATTAGAAATTCTTTGGGGAAAATATCACATTCCATTTTTACTTTTTAGTCAATTTAGTCAGCTAAAAAACCCAAACTGTTTGGGCCAAAAACACAAATCTATCTGCATTTTGCTGCAAAAGAAGATCCAACTAAAAAGTAGTAAAAAAAAAATCTAATTTTATTTAAAAAATGCCTTTCCTTACTTATACACACACACACATCACTAGCCGGTCTTTCTTTTCTTTTTTTTAAAAAAATAACTATTATGCTAAATATTATTATGAATGACTATTTAAAAAAAAAAAAAGTAAAAATAAAAAAGTTATTTTTATTTTTTGTCAAAGTCTTTTTTAGCTTTGCTTATTCTAGTCTCTAAAGAAAGAAAATGTCTTTTTTAATGTTCTGTTTAGACACACACATTGATTCTTTTAAAAAGTTTGGAGAAAATATAGAACAGTGTAAAAAAAAAAAACAACAAGCAACTAACTTCCTTACCTTAAAATGATGTGTCATTTTCGTTCAAAAAACAAATTTGTATTATTCAAGCAAGAAGCAAAATATTGAGTTTTATAAAGACAGTTTTTTTTATTTCTTTTTTGTTTAATATCTCCCTTACAAAACAGACGTGTTTTCCTTTTAGTAGTGTTTGTTGTTATTTTGGTTGTGTCAGCAAATCCTTAATCCAGCTTGCTCTGTTAACAACTTTTCCAGTGGTAAGTGAACGACTTGTATACATACATTTAGTTAGTCAATTTTCTTTTCTGGCCAAGTGCTCTTTCTCGGCGATTTTTTTTTTTTTTTTTAAGGGAATTATATATTTTTTTTTTTTTTTTTACTCTTGATTGTAGGAAAGATTATTGATAATGTGCGTGCGGCTTTCACGGGGAAAGGAAGGCGGAGTTTGGAAAAAAGGGGACCGTCCCACTTGACCAATCAGAAGATAGTTTACAAATAACCTCATTCATTATTACCCAATAGTCATAGTCGTTTTATTTTAAAAAAGACAAAAGAAGAAAACAACACCAAACAGATTTCTTAGGTTGTTTTTTTTTGTGCACACGTGTTTCATTGCTTGTTTGTAATAATAACTGTGTTTGTTGTGGATATATGTGTGAATGCGTACGTAGATGTGTTTGTGACACATGCGTTACAATTTGAACAACAATGATGAATTAAAAATATAAATAATTATTGAATGCGTTTGGTTTGCTTATTTGAACAATAATAAAAACATTTTTCAAACGATTTTTCAAACAAAACAAACTAGAAAGAAGAAAATATTCAAATCAATTGTACTATAACACATTTTTTAGAAAATAAAGGGTGGATTAATTAAATTAAAATTTAAACATGAAAACTGAAATCTACACTTTTCAAATCATACAAAGAAACAAACTCAAACAGCACATTGATTGATTTAAAAAAATGTTATGTAGTAGTAGCAGACCATTTTTGCTTGGAGCTCGATTCTTTCTTATGGCCTGCAATAAACTAAGTAGTAAAAGTACCAACAAAAGTAATGTCTTTGCTTTGAATTTTTTGAAACGTGACTGACACTGGTTCGAAGAATTAATCAATATAAAAACGTGGCCCTGTGTAAGTAAAGAGGAGACTTATTTAAATAAATAACTTACTTATACACAAATAAAAATGTCAGTAAATTTTTGTCATCTCGCCAGAACAGTGACAATTTGAATTTTACAATTATAATTCAATATGATCTATCTATTATTTAATCTATTTTTTGTCGAGCCATGTACTAACTCACAAGTCACACCTTTTCAAAGTCGCGCGTTTTACAATAAATAAATCATCCCATCCACTCGTGTAGTCATCCTGAGTATTGTTGCAGACATCAGGGTATTCCTTTGATCTTTCTAGTGTAACTGCAAAGTGGATGTGATTCCTGGTATACGGGTTTCCGAACATCAGTCTTTTGACTTCCAAATCCGAAGCATCGGAAACAGTGTCACAGCTTGGTGACAGTGTGTTACGAGATTGAAGAGACAGACAGCTCAACAAAATCAAATGAAGTGTGCATTTCATAGCACGTCATACATCTCACTTGAACACAGAGTGACAGTTTTACTTTAAATTTAATAGAGTGATAAGTAGTGTGTAGTAGTGTATCAAACTGAGGATGGATTTTTCTGTTAGTTTTTTTTTTTTTTTTTACAGAGAATTTGAAGACAGAAAGAATGATGTGTTATAGCAGCAATAGTGCAAAGTTTGGTAGATTTATTTATTTTTTTTTTTTTAATGGAAAAGATTGGATTGATTTGCATGTGGCATAGAAAGTAATAAAGATCGATCGATCGATGGTGAATCAACAAGTAGACAGGTCGGCGTGGAGTCGTACGTGTTGTCACTTGTCAGCAAGCTAAGTTTGTCTTGCAATGAGTTCGATTCTAACACATGACGTACCCAAAAGTGAATAAAATAAAATAAAGCTTAGTATACGAATCAATGTGAGTTCATATGGTGATGGAATTTTAAACCTTACTTCCATTTTAGCAGGAAAAACAATTTGAGCGTTATTCCATCCACAATGATGGCGGTATTTGAGTACTGATGGAGTTTAGGGGAGATATAGTTACAAATATTTTTTTTAGTCTACTACGATGTCTGTATAGACAATGGACTGCACTTTAACTTCAAAGCTGTAGAATAAAGAGAGAAAGAAAAATGTAGTCTTTACACGCCATACGGTCGGGTAAAGAAATTCAAGCTAGTAGTCCTCACCAATTGAGTTCGATTCTTACTGAAGTGACATATGCTTAGCTTACAGTCTTGATCCGTGCTAAGCCGATTGATCGGCAGCAAGTAGACACGATGTCTTGCCGTGGAGTAAAAAAAAATGTAAAGTAATTTAAGCTAGTCTTGCGGACTATTGTAATCAGTTTCATTCTCACTGGATTTCTTAGTCTTGTCGTCTTGTGTCAGAACTAGCAAAAAGGCCGGTACGATCGACTGATAGGTAGTAACTAAAACTTGAACATCAAATTTATTTTATTGGTCTGTGTATTGATTGAATGATCAGGATATGCTTGAAGCGTTCGGTAAGTCAATGACACGGAAAATGGACTTGACTTTCCGAGTTCAAATCTCTGCTTTGAAAAAAAGTAGAAAAAAAATGTGAACGCACAGTTCACATTTTTTTTCTACTTTTTTCATTTAGAAAAAAGAAAAATATGAATTTGTCTCGTCACTTTTCAGTTTTGCGACTACATACGAACCCTTAAAGTTTTCTACAGCTGGATAAGAGAAGATTGTGTAGCTAATTAGAAATTTTAAGATTAGAAATTTTTTAAAACAAAATAACCTATCTAGTTTAAAATTGCATAACTCCTCACTTGCATTTTAGTCAGTAATAACTGAAAAGTGCCTTTGTCTCTTCTCCCTCCTTCTCAGCTATGGTTAGAGGATAGAGTGGGTTTGATAGCTTTGGGTACAAGCCAATCTAGGAAAAATGTACAATTCCAACTTTGAAACCCCTGGATTAGGCAAAGGGAAAAAAAGCATGCTATTCCAAATAAGTCATCACAGATAAAAAGAAAAGGAATCTGTTGAGAGCCATAATCGCCCACTCTAAGGTGCCCATTACAGTCTTAATAATTGGGGAGTGGTGGAATTTTTCTCAGTAAGCAATAAACGAGGAGTGGGTAAAAAGATGGAATCAGAAAATTATTCAAAAGGTTAAAAAGTGCGAAACCAACAGAATGGTCTTAAGTAAACATGGAGGGAGTGGAAAATTTCCTCAAAATAAATAAATAAACGTCCCCCCTCGTCTATCACACACTTAGAGTATGGAGACTTTCTAAGTGCGGATGTGGCATGAGGCCAAAAGTATGGGGTAAACCAGTAAGGATTGAACTCACTACTCAGTCATAACTGATCCAGCAAAAAAAGCATGCTCACCATTACATCAAGTCTAAGTGCCCAAAGTGATTTTCTAAACATAACTTAGATGTGGCACAAGGCTGAAAATGTGGAGAGAACACAGTGAGGATTGAACTCACTACCTCACTAAGCTTACTAACCATTACACTATGTTGAAGTGCTGTAGGCTTTTAAAGAGTATGTTCCAAAGTGATAAATATTTTTTTTTAAGTTGTACAACTGTAGTCAATTTAATTTTAAATAACCTCACTATTATAGCTTGGTGTAGACATAAACTAGTAATTTTAAATCTAAGCCTTTATGTTTAATTTAGTCTAGTACTAGGCTATAATAGTGAAGACTAAAAAACTATACTAAATAATTTGTAAGTATTAAAATAGTAAGTCCTTGTTACTCTACTAATTTTTTTGCAGCATTTGAAAGCAATGACACGCTTATTTTCCACCGACACAGCTTGCATTTTTGCAAGTAAACATATCCAATCTCCATGATGCGCTGTTAAGCAAGCACCAGATATTATAACAAAAATGTTACATAAGTGAGTTATCACCCTTGGTCAAATTGCACTCTCTAGAGATCATGTATAGTGTCAAACCAAGCAATCATTAGCCAGAATATGTTGGTGCCAATTATCAAAGAATGCTTTTCTCTGTTGTTTCTTTCTTTTCTTCAAGGCACAGGACATTAAAGTTGTCTCTACCTGCAGTTATGACATGAGAGCTGTACTAATGATATTAGTACGTAAACTATTCTACAAACCAAGGACTTCAGTTAAGTGAACTTATATTGTTTCATTATAATATAGCTGCAAACAGAACAATGTTTGCAACAAGAACTGCTATTTCAATAGTATTTGTATATATGGATTTCAATAATATTCCTTTTAATTTTTAATTTGTGTTCTGTGTTCTTCCTGTATTGATATTATTTGGTGTTTAAATTGCCATAGTATGAGATAGATTCAGTATAGTTAGTTTGGCATAAGGTCGAATTTTTTGAGTGCCGACTGAAAATCGGAATTATGATTATAGGGATACAGAAGGTGATTATCTCCCTTTGGTGGAGATAAGTCACATGGTTCACATGATGGCCACTTAGTGATGTCCCTTCATATGGTGACATAAGTGGCCATTCAGTCAGTAAGCTTATTGATGTCAAGATACGTGTTTGTTTTTCCTGCCCTGGCTTCTGCCTGGGGCAGCCGTCTGCCAAATGCTACAGCTTACAAGTCAATGATGCCGTTTCCGTTTGGGAATATATCTTTCCCTGATACAGAAATAAAATCCAGTTCACAGTTCTCAATTTGAGAAAGCCCAAGACTCAGTTTCCCATTTGTGGAATATCTCCTTGCCTGGGATACAATAGATGAATCAAGCCCGTTTGTATCTGGAGTCCTAAACATGGCTTCTCCAGAAACAGGAGTATCTCCATATTATATGTAAGACCATTCCTTTCTGTTTCTCCTTACACCCTACTTTGCTGTGTAGATATATATAATTTTCTCTGTGTGGGACACTTGTATATATGCATATATAGTTTTGTATATGTCTAGTCATGTAAAAATCTCTCTGAGAACAAAGCATATTCTTTTTCCTTTTAGCCATTCTGCTCCA